GAATACTAATTACTGTCCAATTGATAATTTTTTTTTTTTGTCCATTTTTTAAAACGATTTTAACTAAAGGCACCTATATTCATTTTAAGTAGATCTTACAGCTATAGGTTGTCAACATTTTAATGATTTTAGATGTGGCATTAAAAGTTTTAATGTACAGTATAGACATAAAATAATAACATTATCATACTCTTATCAGATATTAGTTATCACTTATCTGCTACTAAATAAAATTACGATTTGTCATAAAAGTGTACTTAGCTAGGAACTATACTTTTTATCACTTTATTTGAAAAATATTAACGATATCTAATGAGATCGCCATAATGCTAAAATGATAAAAAAAAATGTGTAAAAAAAGTAGCATTACATCAAGGTTAAAAATATATTCCTAATTAAAATCATTTTACGAGTTGTAAACTAATTTAATTTACTGTGTGGAAATACACTATAATAACCTTTTAATTGTGCCTATTAGTAGTATATTAATAAATAATAATATTTATGGCTATCCTGAGATCACTTCTTCACCACCGCACCATCTATGCTTCCTCTGACCCACTCGTCTTCGAACACTTGTGCACCCCCGAGTTTAAAATATGCACCCTCAAAATATTAAATTCTTAATCTATTATATTTTGAAGTAAAAATTATCAATAAATACAAAAATGTTGTACCATTATACTGTATATTGAGGAATATACTAATTGGGTACTTCATTATTATGTTCCTACATTCCCAGCTATAACAGTATGACATAATATTTTGAAATAATCTTTAGCTTAGGTATTTAATGTTGCATATACAGGTATCAGATACGTCGTTATTACTTATTTGTAGTGATGGGCAACGATATCGATAATTCGATACGATATCGATATCGTGACAAATTTCCGACATCGATATCGCTTTTGTATTGTACGATACATCGCGATATCGAAAATAATATTTTTCGAGAAAAATACATGGTATTTACTATGTAATACAAGACATGAATTCAAGACAATATTAAAATAAAATAATTATGAATTTATTTTCTAGGATACAGCTATCGGGGTTGAACACATTTAAGGAGAAGCCAAAAAGGGTTAACATAAAATATAAAAATTTAAAACAAATGTAACAAAATGTATAACAAATTTATTGTAAATAAAAATAACTAAGTAATAAGTAATAAATAACTAATAACTAATAAAGTAATAAGTATGTATGTTAAATGTGTACGATGTCGGTGTACCAATAATAAACAATAAATATTAATTAGCTTAATAAAGTAAATTCCTTAGTGTGATATATACATAGAAATTTAATTAAATGAATACGAAAAGTTTTTTTAATTGTTTAGGTAAACATAAAATTATATTTCTGATACGATATCGATATCGTAGAAATAACGATATCGCGATACAATATCGGAAAAATCTGAACGATATCGATACAGAAAATTATATCGTTGCCCATCACTACTTATTTGGGTAACAATGATCATACCTAATAATTATTTCTTATAAATCAACAAAATAACTTTGAAAACAGGATAACTATACTTCTCTCTATTTTTGGCGGGATAAAATGAATGTGTGCCCGTTTATATTGTTTCCTTGTTTATAATTTGCTATAATTTATAAAACTAGTGGATGAGCATAAAATGACCGACAATATATTTCAGTTAAATTGTGTTGTTCAAAAAACTGTTGTGGAGTTTTTTTATGAAAAATCAATATAGGTACCTATCAATGTTTATTCAATTATTGATAATATCAAACAAATAATAAGACCTATAGAACCTAGATTATTTAATAAAAAAAAAAAATACAAGAAATTGACAATCTAGATTTTCCGGCTTTAAGCTGTTCTACTTCTATTCCAAATCAGCCAGAGTTAAAAAAGAGTTTGATTTGGGCAATTAAGAGAGGAGAGATGGACCAAATTATCCTAATGACTGAATTAGCAGTATTTTAAATAAATATAATTTACTGGAAATAAAAAAACATGTTAAAATAGTTGTGATAATTTTACTTCTTATCTGTTACTGTTTCACTCATATTAAAATATAGTACATACATACACATTTTAAATTATTGTGATAGGTATACAGATTATAACAGGAAGACTTACTAGATGAAATAACTTTTGTTCGAATCAATATTTTTAATTTTTTTTTATATAATATAGTTGTAGCCTTTTGAGCTATACGTATAATAAAAAAATATTTTTATAATGAAAATAAAAAATTTAAAATCGAATTTAAATTTTTGGAAAAATTCAAAATATCCAATTTTCAAATCTCATTATAAGAACAATTTTAATGGTAAAAACATTTATCTAAGTCAAGTGGTTTATTTTTTAGAATATTTTAAAATATAAATATTTAGAAAGTTAATTTAGAACGTCATAACTTTTTTCAAAATATTTTTGTCACAAATTTTGTAACAAGTTTAAGTAGCGTAATTTTTTTTTTGTCAGATCTTCCTGTCACACACTGTATAATATACAGTGTGGGTCTGGGGGTCTGGAAATTCTCTACAATTTGTGCACCCCCAAAAATATAGGTCTAGTTGCACCTATGACTTCGCCACTTACCCAAGCAGTCATCTAATACATTTATGATGCCCGTATGCCTGCGTGGATATAAATATATTATGCTGGTTACGTGCCAGATTGGGAGGTAGACAAGGGCGATGACGAGGGTTTCAGTGGAGGCAGTGGTGGTGTGAAGATGCGGAGGTTTGGAAAGATGAAATGGTGGTGCGGAGTTGGTCCCATTATCGGCATAAATATACTATTAATGGGCATAATTAAATGGCACATTAAGTATATTCGCACGCAGTAAATTAAATTATTTCACAACTAGTAAAATGTTTTTAATTAGGCATATCTAAACCTCGTAACCTTGATGAAATGCTTTATAACGTGACAAAATATTTACAGTATGGTAGTTGGATTTCAATTGGAAGTTATTACGATAGGTTGTGCCAAAAGTTTGCCAAGTAAACTTCTCGAATCTGCATATCAATATAAGTGAGTATATTTTTTAATAAAAAATGTAGAGCTCTTATACAATGTATGCACAAATATAGTTTGTACTTTAAGGTCCCTACAAACTCTATCAATTTTTCATCAAAACGACCTCAGTTAAGGTACTTCAGTGGTTCAATTTAAAAAATGTTAATATAATATATGATTTGATAAACAAAAGTTTACTTTGCCTCGGTTAGAGCCTATAATATACAAAATGTTTAACAATTTTTAATTACCTAATGTAATGTAAAAATGTAAAAATTGATAAAGTTTCAAATGATTATTCCTGTCAGTTGATATAGTGCATAGTTAATATTATTTTCATAGTGTGTGTTTGGGAACCATAATTTGCCTTTGACTTACTTGTATGTTATTAAAAGTATAGCTTACTTAATAGATTTTTAATTAGTTAATTCCATCTTAAATTAATATCAAAAATTGCACATAAGTATCGTCAGTAGATGTCGATGTTTTTCAACTTGTTAATTGTACATATTTGTAAATTACAAATTTTGTAAATGCAGTAGCCGTGTATTGAAATATTGTTATAATTAAAAACATCAATACTGGCATCATAGATTTCATTAAGATTATATTTAATACAAATAATTGGTTCCAAAATACTACCTTGTGGTACACCATAGACCATAGTTAATTAAACATGAGTTACCATTTACTTAATTTATTTTCACTGTTTGTTTTATATTATGTACTTAGAAAAATTTTAAACCAATTTAAGCTTGAACTATTTAATCCAAAGCTAGGCAATATTTATATCTAAAACCGTATTAATTTTTTGATAACAAACATTTTTTTTTTAAAAATCAGTCAGCCTAAAATTAATAATGTTTTTATATGTTTTCAAAAAAATTACTTATAATGAATATTGGCCCGTACCTAATTATATTCATAGACGATTTATTATCACTTTTAAATAATGATTTAGCAACAGCCAATTTTAAGTCATCAGGCAAAATGCTTTACTGAATACCTTCTTAAATTTCATATGTAAACAAGACTACAAGAGGATCCACTATAAATTGTCTATCTAATACGTTTTAAAATTTTAACCAATGCTCTATCCAATCCTCGTGCTGTATCGTCGTTGAAGTTATTATTAATCTCTAGTATAACTGACGTCTCATTTTTTTCAATGAAAAATCTTTAAATGAAATATTTTTACGTTCACGACTCATTTGTTTATTGATTGTCATATAACATTAGGTACCTACCTATATTATTATTAATATTTATTAAAAAATCATTGAACATATTATTTGATGATCTTATTGGATCCTTTCTAGAATTTATTTCTGTTTCATTGTTTTTCAATTTGATTATTTCATATTTAGATCTACATTTAAGACCAGTAACTTAATTTATTAGTTTCCATGTTAGTTTTAGATTAGAACTCACCTTTTTATATCTATGTTCATACAATTTTAATTTTGCTAGCCTTACAGTTTTTGTAAAGTTAATTTTGTACTTTTTATAATACAAAGCTAACCTTAGACAGTTAGGGTGTTTTTTGTATTTCATTGAGATGTAATGTTTACGACGACCAGAGGTTAGTCCATTATTAGTCATCCACTCTTTCAGACATTTATTGTTGGCGTTTGCTAACATACAATAATAATATTGTAGATTTATCAATTGCAGATTCAATTATTTTATCAACAATTGTTAGTGTAGTATTATATATTTATACATTTATACTTAATCATTAGTATTAGACAAATTGTATGTAGGTACCTATTGTACCTAGATGGCTAGATAAATAATATGTGAGTAACGAAGTACACAATGTATAATAAGAACTTATGATTTTAACTAGTTTTACTGAACCATCTTTTCCGTTTTTAGATTTAAATAAAACTGGTCTACTACAACTCTAATATTTATGTTTTACTAACCTACTGCGTAAGTATAACATTAACACAAGTTTTAATTTTTTCAGTTAGCGAATTTTAATTTGAAAAATGAAATTAATATTTTGCTTGATTTGGTCTTGCCTTTGGTGTGGTATATCTGCTCATTTTAGAAGTTTCACAAGTTTAGTGGGCATAGGAGAACCAAATAGACGTCCATCCTTAATTGGTACTTCATTAAGAGCCGCAACCTTGAACTTCATCATAGAGGATTTTATAGAACAGAAACTGGATCATTTTAATCCTACTGACAACAGAACGTGGAATCAGGTATTAATTTATTTAATTTTATATGATAAGCTTTAACATGATCCAGTCATCTTAAAAATAATAATTGAATTGAATTTTTTAGAGATACCAAGCTCATTCAGAACACCATACAGCTGGTGGACCAATATTTTTGTTGTTGGGAGGAGAAGAAAAAATCTCAAAAGCATGGTTGAGAGATGGGTCTATGATGGAATACGCTGAAAAATTTAATGCCATGTGTTTTCAATTGGAACATCGGTATTATGGAAAGAGCTATCCCACTGAGTGAGTGCTGTTTAGACGGATAAAATAATTATAAATCTAAGTGATTGCCTTTATAATTAGTATTATTATACTGTATACTGTCTGGTAGGTATAGGTACTCCATATTAATAACAATAATGAAAACCTACCGTGTTAATTCAAAATAATGAATACATATAATAGATTTTAATGATTTAAGTTTCCATTTTAAGCAGAATATATTATGCGCATATATAAATTATTTAATCGACTCAATTTCATGGGTGATAATTGGGCCATTATGGCCCAAATAAAGAAACTCGTAAGAGGAGGCCCAGGATTCCCATGTTACATTATCTTTTTATTTTTAAATATTATATACATAATATATATAGACCGTTTAAACTACCTAGGTACCCAGAAAAATACAACTAATTGAGTGGATTGGAGTTACATATCCCTAATATATTATAATGATTTACATAGCACAAAGTAAAGCATTCAGGCCTCAGGGTTTATTTCCAAATAAAAGTAACTCCCCTTCAAATGTTATTTGGTATGTGGGGATTAGGTGTAAAATCTAGGTAAAGCGTACATACATAATATTATAATCTGTTCACATCACGAAGTCGGTAAGTCTGAAATTCATATACAAATTTCTAATTTGGCAACTACCTAAGCACAATATTTTAGAATCTAGTACTGTATAATTTGTTTAAAAAAATGTTATGTGAGGGGGTGACAGTTCTTACCCCTCCCCCCATAGTTACGCTACATTAGAAAAGGCTAATTTTAAACATTCATCACTACTTTTATAACCTAACATTAACTATAGTAAATTATTATAAAAATTGTAATAATTTAATTTAATAATACAATGTTAAGCATTCACCCATAGATCAAAATATATTGATATCTAAAATAACATAATAACTAAAAATTGTATTAAATAATAATCATATTATGTTTCAGTAATTTAAATACTACAAATTTAAAGTACTTGAGTATTAAACAAGCATTGGCTGATGTGGCAGCGTTTATAAAGACTAAATCTAAAAAATACCAAAACAGTAGATGGGTATTATTTGGAGGATCTTATCCAGGAAGTTTAGCTGCCTGGGCAAGAATTACATATCCACATCTCGTATATGCAGCAGTTTCGTCGAGTAGTGTTATAAAGACGAGAATAGATAATATAGGTACTAACTATAATATAATAACGTATTGTTTGATAATATTTTATTTAGTCTTTTACAACAACTTAGTATACCTAATACATATTATACATTTTAAATTCCTATGACATAATATTGTTTTAAGTAAGTATAGTGTAAGCATTATAATAGATTTTTACCAAATAAGTTAAATTAAACAGGACCTTATGTAGTATCTACTCCATATGCCATATAGGTGCAAGGTATTTCAAATTATTTGATTGACATTCACTTTCTTTGAGGTGGTCATCAATAAAAAGTGTGTAATGTGGAGATGTTTTCTTTCCGTAGATTATTTTAAGGTTGCCGAAAAAGCATTAACAGATTATAATCCAAAATGTGTATCCAATATAAGACAAGCAACTTTGATGATTAGCGATTTGTTAGACACTGAAAATGGAACAAGATATGTTCAAAGCAAATTCAGGTATGTTGGTTATTGATATATACACAATTATTAATTAATATTAAAATACTTACCCCTTGTAGGTAATTATAAACGTAAATTGTTATTATATAATTTTAGAGCATGCTATCGTATAAACCCAGATGTTAAAAGAGATGTAAGACAATTGTTTCAACAATTATCTTTACCCATTGCACGAACTATACAATACAATAAAGACAACCGTTATTACTCAAATATGGAAGCAGCGGATTTATCAATAACATCATTATGTGATATTATGTTAGATAGGTCATTAGGAAACTCAGTATGTATTTTATTAATCAGAAATTCAGTTATAAATATAATAAAATATAATTATAAAGTATATATAATGAATGTTTATGATTATGAACAGAGTATTACTTAACTATCACACTGTTGTAGGTAGATTTTGTTTTATTATTTATAGTTTAACATCTTACCGGAAAATCAAATATGTACCTACCCAACTAATATTATCGTATGGATGATATTTATCGATTTTTTTGGTCAAATGCCAAGTTATATATTCCTAACTGAACTATAGATTTTAAATGCTATCGACATAATAAATACACTTATTCACAAGTAGAGAAACCCTAGAATAATTTTTTGTCGAACGTTTAAAAAAATGTACAATATAATATTGCAATGTTAATATTTCAAACATGATATTTAAAATGTTAATTACGATTATAGTAGCTACTGGCAGATCAAATCAGTATTTCATTAGAACATATTTATATAAGTATTCATAGAAAATAAATTACCAATCTGACAGTATCACCATTTGGTGGCTGCTTAACTAATGTCTATATCCTTATAACTGAGTGATTGATGTAATTAAATAACTAAGAACCGATAAAATAATGATTGATATGCATATTTTTTTCTCAGTTTGATCGATATGTAGCTTACCACAGAAAAATAAGACATGTATTAAAAAGACAGTGTTCATCGTATTCGTACCAATCATCACTTAAGTCCAATTCAGAAATATATTGGCACCAAGGATCACCACAATCAGGAGGTTAGTAATTTCTTGATCATTTACAGATCTCATCGATTTCGGGGATTCTGAAAAATATTCAGTCGGAACCGTTTTTCGTTTGTATCGTATTTCGTTAGAAAAATATTTTATTGGACTCGTATTTTGTTTAAAAATTTTATTTACCTACCTACTCACTGATTTATAGATTTATCAACTATAGTATTAAATTCATTTAATTTAAAAAACGACTTTGCAATAAGTCCAGTGTTGGTGATTTTTCGAAAAATGTTTATGAAAACGAGATTTGTATCCATCGATCAAAAAAACACTTTAATTTCTTTCACTTAACATAACTTCATCCGTGGTGCTCGGGGTACTTCGTGAAGTAGAGTGTAGGTAATATAATATAATGATATCGGTAGACTGTAACATAATATTACACTATAGTTATGGTAGAAATTAATTCCAAAATTCCCGATCCATATATATTATGTTTATATTATTATCTGACAAAAGCCATAAAAATTATATCACGTAGTTAGTTGTCTCCATATACGTATCTATATTATTATATGGTTGATTTTATACTTCCTCAACTCAAAATTATTCTCGGACTCAACTTGTTTATTTTTGATTTCCCAACCACGGACTCAATTAGAATATTTCTCGTTTACACCCGGGACTCAATTAATATATTATTTTTTTTTCCCGTTCAGGTATTCAGACTTAATTAGTATAGGTACCTACACTGAATATTACATATAGGTAGTTTTTATTTTCATAAAATCATTTTTAAGGATTTTTATCCTTAGTATAAACATATAATAACTCGTTTTGTAATGCGTATCTAACAAGTTCGAATTTCGATTTTGATACATCAGGAAAATCATACGATAAAATAATAATATTCAGTAAAAAGGGTTGAAGGTCAATTTGAAAAATAAATTTTGTATCGCCACAGCACAATTCTTAAGTTGTACAAAAAAATATCAGAAATTTGAAAATATAATCATTAGTATACACAAATAACCTATACTTAAAAATTCTTAAAAAAATCATTTGAATAAGTGTAGGTTCTATTGAAGGGTAAAATTGGGGTGAACATAGATACAAAATTACACTGTATATATAGACATGTATTGTATAATAATTATTATATTTTAATTTTTTCGCAATACTCGAAATAAGTCAAAATGGTTACGGGTTATATCATAGGAATAATTTATCAAAATTATTTCCATAACATTGTCATTGTTTAGAAACAATTCTAACGAAACCACGTACCAAACAGATACATTTGTTGAACTATATTTTGTTAGTTTAGGTTTTGTTAGAACCATAATAAGAAAACTATTTTATTTCAGATCGACAATGGTTTTACCAGCTCTGTACAGAGATAGGCAATTTTGTAACATCCAATGAAGATGATCACTTATTTGGTAATACCATACCAATTGACTTTTTTACCGATTTGTGCACTGATGTTTTTGGAGAGCAGTAAGTTGATAAAAAAATATCTTAAAAATGATATATTTTATTCATAAAACGTATCGTATGAGTTTTTTTTAGTGTAGGGTTAATTTCTGAATTTATTACAACGAATTAAGTACCGATATCTGTAGCGTATTTTAATGAGTTATATGGAGAAGGTTTTGGAAAACCCTCAGATTTTTAATAATCACTTTCAATCAATTTCCCCGAGTAATTTTTTTACATAGTTATTTAATAACTTGAAAAAGTTATAAACATTTCAACATTTGTATAACAAATTGTACTATCAAATTCAAAATTGAATTATAATATTTAATATTTATACATCATAAACATTGTTATTTCCGGTTGTTTGAGTCTACTTTTTAGGCAGTCAACATACAAGGCAATTATATATTAACATTATAGTTGAACTGGTTATAGGGTCGTATCAGGATTCCACTATGCCAAATGAATAAATTAATCTTGAGATCTATGGAATGAAGAAAAATAATACTTCATAAGTTAATATTTTAGAGATATTGTATTATTTTGTTTAGTTTTGATTTAAATAAATTGAAAAAGGCAGTTCACAAGACAACTATGTTGTACCATGGCTTAAAAAACACAACAAGCCGAGTTATTTATTTACACGGATCTTTCGACCCATGGAACGGATTAGGTCTTACTGAACCGAAATCAGACGATTCCATATCAATATTCATTGACGGTAATCTTTTAACTTTTATCATGTTAAGCTCATTTTTTAAAATAAAAATGTCGTTTAATATTAAATCAAATTATATATTTTTAGGAGTATCGCATTGTGCAGATCTATATACTTCTAGTTTGAAGGACCCGCCACAGTTATCGGAAGCTCGTGAAACAGTTATATTTTATTTAAACAAATGGTTGACGGAAAATTGAATTTGATATTTTTATCACACTAAAAGATAATAAAAATCATCATTTTTTAATAGATATTTAATAGTAATTTAATTATAAATACATATTTATTCATACATATAATATATTTTATTTAGATTAATACAAATTATATCAATATATTTTGCTTTAAATGACAATTTGTATGTATTTATTAGTAATAGATACATTATAATGTAAATATATATATATCATACTATCCTGCACTCCGAATAGTATAGAATAATTTGTTCATGATTCAAAATACACTGTGGGTACAAAATGTCATCATAACCTATAACAATTAAACTTTATAACTACAAATTATAACTGTTAAAGTGAGTCAGTATTTATACCGCATAATACTCGGCACTGCTAAAAATGATAAAAGCCACTTTATAGGTATCAATAAACCAGAAATTGCTTCGAACACGAGAAAATAATTAATAATTATATACCTATTCGACATATTTAAAAGCCTCATCTAATTTACACAACTGAAAAGGATAGAAACTCGGTAGGAATTAATATTTAGATCTTAAACATACCTACTAAGAATCTTATTCGTATTCTTATTTCCGTCTCCAAAAATATCGACAGCTTCGGAAAATAAGTTTAATACACATTCATAAATCTTAAATATCACTCCAGCTCTGATATAAAAAAAATTAATCAACATCAATATATTATATAATATTATTATAATATGAAAAAAAAATGATACCTCATTTAAAAACGTAGAAACACATATCAAAAACACTAAATTAAGAGAAATTACATTCTCCTCCCATTAAGGTCATAACTTTTATTCTTACCAGGTATACCCAAACTATTATTTATAGATTCCAAATCACAGGCATTATTACCTAACACACAATCAGCGTATTATGACTGGACAAAAACATTTATTCACTATCCATTTCAGTCACATTTAAATTTATTTTCACGGAATGCTACAAAAGTCAAAACAAAAGCGATCATAGTCGTATACAGTGCGTATACGGTGTGTGTGTGTGTACAGTCACGGTTTAATTGTCCAGTTGTACGTTATTATAAATTATACTTTTTTTTTTTATTAGCTATTAGTATATAACTATGATAGCACAATATATTATTAATACTTATACTTATACTTAATACTTATACATAATTATATTGTCGTGTTATGATTCATTTATACTAATACCAAAGTCATTAGTCCATCAAGCTTCACTTTCAACAGTTTACCAATAACTATTGTCTTTTTTTATTGGTATTTTAAACTATCATATCATGTATAAACACCTAGCCCTTATTTAATATATAATATAGTACAATAATATAATTTATAAATACATAATATATATATATATTCAATAAACCTACAAAACTAGTCTTAATTTATGTACCTTCCGGCTTCCATACTCGGTTATTTAACCTCAAACTCTTAAGTAAGTAGTGACTATAGTTATACTGTTATAGACTATAGTACATATTATATAAGTGGGTATAGACTTTTTAGGTGAATCGACCCAACATATGGTCTATTTTTTCGAATAGTTATACACTATTTAGGCGAGTGTTTATTATACAAACAATACTGTTTGCGTGAATAGATACGAATTAGTTTATCCCTAGGTGAATTAATTTATTATTTATATATATTGTATAGTATTATGTATATAGTCAATTGAAAAAAGCCGGAAAGTGGGTGACTCATTAATGTTATTGATGGTGTTAGATTTGAATTCAATGATATAATATCATTGTATACGAAAAACGAGCGGAGATGGTTTGTCAGCCTAGGATATTTTATATTATATTTATATTGTATTGTTATTAATATAGTAGCCGGTTAAGTTGAATTATGTTATTATTATTTGTTTATTATAATACTATCTGATCCTGCGCACTTTGTTGACCGTAAAAAATGACAATTCTTAAACAAATTGTGATTGTTCCAACTCCTTTTGTGTGTAACTCGTTGCAGTTAGTGCAACTCAGACATCCTGGTAGGCAATCCGACTTTGTAGGATCGAGGACAATGTGCGAGAGCATAATATCAAGTAGGCAACGAGTAACGACCCGCCGCCCGATGAGCGGCTATAAGTGCAACTTGACGCGATGCTGTGTGGTGGTAGAGTAGGAATCTGGTAACCGCGGTACGAACCCGAAGGTTGTAGATTGTACCAAACAAAACAACGACATCACGTTTGGTATAATATTTAAGCGAAAGGTTTATTTGACAAAGTTGTACAATATAAAATAATGCATATATTATGAAACGAGACGAGTTCGGTACTCTAAGACTCGGACTCCAAGACAGAGCAGCCCGCCGCACCGTAGGCCCGGACTTCGACCGAGACCATAGAGTAACCACCCATGGCACGGCGTGCCCTCTCACCTCTCCCGACCATCAGTGACCTGTCGAGCAGAGGGCGCGTCACTTGAGGTTGGGTATAACGACCGCGACAAGCTCAGCCAACTTTGTAGGCAATGTGCGAAAATTCGGTTTGATGCATGCTTGTCGCTGATCTGCCCGATAACCAATGGCAGCCTATAAAATTAAATAATAAATACTAACTTCTACTAACTATTTCTCCTATAACCAATAGCAACCGTTTATAAACAAAAATTTCCATCGTAAATCTTAAAATACTGGGTCCAATTGTAAATCTAAACCTTCCCCTTAAATCACTCTATCAATTAAAAAAAACCTCGTCAAAATTGGTTGCGTAGTTTTAAAGATCTACGCACATACAGACAGACTGCAGCCGGACTTTGTTTTATACTATGTTAAGATTAAGATAAGAAGATTTGTGTATAATAATATACTTTAAAAGTTTCAAGTAGGTACTTGAATAATGTTTTTAAAATAGAACACAAAACTAAAATCGTTCTTTTTTATTTAAATATCTAAATTTGAAAATAAAAAAACAGTGTTTTATATATTTTAGATTTTTCGGTTACACAGAATAACCTACTTCCGTGGGACCTCGTTTTAAATTTTCAATCCTTAGATATAAAAGTTGAACATTTTTTAAATTCTCAATTTCATGAATTTTGTCAAAATTCAAACTTTAAATGATTAAAAAAAATCGCACCTATATATTTTTTATATTTTTCAACTGCTATTGTAATAACAATATATCAGGAGCCTTGTATTGAGTGTCACCCTTTTTGACCCAACAAATAAAATTGTATTGACAGTTAAAGAAAAAAACTGAAAAAAATTAAAAATCGAAAATGTCCGTAAAAAGCTCAAAACAAGTCAAATTGTCAAAAAACCCTATATTTTTCAACCTAGGTAGGTAAAGTGTAGTTCACAAATGTATTTTTCATTAAAAAAATATGGCATATATTTTTATTCACAGATACATTTATAACAACAAAAACAAATATTTGGCACTATAGCAGTGCCGGTCGGGACAGCTAGTATTATTATATAATAACATTTTATTTTAAAATACCTAGGTAGGTAGGTACATATAAACTGGTTAAAATACAACTAATTGAGTGAAGTAGAATTACATATTATAAAGATTTATGTAGCTCACAGTGTCTTAACTATGATTGATTTTCTGGTAAAGGGTGGAAATGAACTTCAAAATGTTTTATCGACAGCTGTTTAAGGTTTATGACTGCAATGTTGGGAAAAGATAACTAATAATTTATCTAGATAAACATAAATATAAATGTATAACGTTTTATTCAGATGAATTTATGTTTAATTCAATTTTTGCACATTTTTAGTGATACAGCCATACTACAGGTTTTAGGTTGGAATGGACCAGTAGCCATTCTCTGACTTTTGAGGCCCTTTGCCAAGACCTTGGCTACAGGAGGCGGTAGGCGTAGAGAGCCACTTGTTTATTTTATTTTCACACTGTAACTGGTGAGGTTACTTGAGGTCCATTGGACTTCGAGTTTTGCAACCGGACCTGTTGTTCACTCGAAAGTATAATTTTAAAATTCCCATACTAGCCAATTCGCTACCAAATAACCTCCATCGGAAAAAAACCTCCATTTAGAAAAAATTATATCAATAATCGTGGCTATTTATACCATAAATTAATATTTATTCAATATAGATGTAAATAAATGTTCAAAGTAATTATGTTGTCATGATAATAAAAGTGTGTAGTGTAAATATTTATAATATACACTTATGCAATAGCATTATTATGATTACTGTAATCACTATAATGTAATATACTAAATTATACATAATCAATGGTGATAGATAAACCACCCATTGTACGTGAATACGAATAATATGTTTTAAGCAACCATTTAGGACACGATGAAAATTTTAATAATTTTATTACTCTCGATCAAAGTAGCATATTTATTAGAACACAATGTCACCACTAATCATATCAACAAAAGACTTATATACAATGGTAAAAAATATGATGCGGAAAAGTATCCGTGCAAAATCACAACTAAGTTTATCGACAGTGTAAAAATGCACCGATTATCAGTATAATAACACGTGCACTGGTTCATTCGTAAACAGAAGTACGTATTGCCCTCCTTCACTGCAGGCTCCTCTATGGCTTAACAAAGTTAACAAAAATAATAAAAAGTAAAGTTATACTTAATACTAGTATTACCAGGGCCGATTGGTGTGATCAGCCCGATCGAGATGTTCACTTCTATAAGCAGCCCCATATTACATATTCAGTAGCCCAAATGACAGTCCATAATTTTTACGAGCTTATAGGTGGCCTATTCACATTTTGAAAACTGAATTTATTTCACTCAAACTCACACTCAAACTTAACCGGTCCCACGAGATTTCTCGGTAGCTCGCCTAACTGCAATCCGGCCCTGGGGTTACCATTAGGCGTGTTTTGGCGGAGGTAGTAAACTGTTTAGTAAATAAGTTTATGGTTGTGGAATAAGGTTAGAAAACGTTTACTGGAACGCCAAAACAATTGCTTGAACATTTTGTTACTGAAATATTTTGATAACATTTGATATCATAAACTTTTTTCGTAAACCGAACCTCAGTAAAACCT